AACGTTATTATGGTTTGGGCATGGATGCTTCCAGAATGTGCAAAATATCAGGGGTCACTCGTGGCGCACATACCCTAAAAAAACCCTAGACTCTCACAACTCTAAAACTTCCCCAACCCAAACAACTAAGCCCCACGCACCTAAAAATCACGGATCTCTGAGACCCACGGCCAACGCCGCCGGATCGGTGACGTCGGTTTCGACCACGGTGATGTCACCCTGGCCTTGGTGAGACCCGAGAGGTTTAGGGCTCAGGGCTTAAGGGCTTTAGTGGCTGTTTGGGGGCTTCCGGCTTTGGGGTTTGGGGGTTTTTAGGGGCTACGGCTACAGAGTCTAGGGGTTAGGGTTTGGGGTTTAGGGGGTTTAGGGGGTTTAGGGTTCTAGGATTGAGGCTTACATTGTAGGGCTTATGGGGTGTAGGATTTATCTGGGCATGCTGTTGAAGGTGCAACATATGAGCGAACATGCTTAGAATAGGAGAGGATCAAGTTGCACATCATGCCACAGTGTAAACGCACAGCCGTCCAGAAATTCGACACCGTTGGATACCATTGCCTATGTCGGATGTACAAACAGTGTTTCGAAGCTTCCGCGGGCTCTAAAGGGGGACCATGGGGGACCGGCGTTTAGCCACCACAGCAGCCTGCCGTCCGAACAGCCGAAAGCCGCAACAAGCACACAAAACCCAAAACAGCGATTCCGGGAATGCTGGGCAGAAGAAAGCACTGCGACCGCACTGAAAGGACTCGAGGAGCGGGGAGCGCTGAGGTTGTAGTGTACCCAATGTTCAGGACCTCGATGAAGGAAGCTTCTTGCCATCCGAATTGCCAAACCCCCGGGAGTCTGAACCTGACATCTACTAAGGAAGCGCTTTTCGACGGACTTTTGCCTTGGAAAAGGTAGGATGGGTCTAAGCAACCGTGCCCTCACTTGTGGAAGGGGCGCCGGTGCCCTCAAAGTCACACCACAAGCGTCAGCTCTTCTGGGGGCTGGATGGCCCGGCTCAGCCAAGAACTCATGAAATCGCACTGCCTGGGCACCGGATGCTGCGAGTAAGGAGGAGGTTGCGTTGATGGTGCAGAACACGATGAACATCACGGTGATGATGAATATGAACATGAAGGTGAAGATGGAGATGAAGATTCAAACTAAATCTGACGAGGGGGGTTGGAAGCTTACCCCTAATACTAAAGTTAGGCCCTAAAGCCCTAACAGCGCTTGGGTTTGTTGAAGTTGGGGCTTCGGTGTTCGGCGTGTTGCATCACCCAAAGCCACTGGCCCCAACTGGAATTTTTTGAGCCACCACCGAGCTGCCAAAAAAGACCTCGACGAACCCTGAAACCTAAACCCTAAATCCTGAATCCTAAATCCTAAACCCTAAATTCTAAATCCTAAACCCTAAACCTTAAGAGAAGGTCATACTTAGAGCACGGAGGGACTTGTAACTAGGGTTGTCAAGCACCTTCAGCAAGCTGCTTCGTCCCTTGATTCTCGAAGCATGCCGCAGCACCCTAACTCCTTAAGCCCAACACCATGAACCCCAACCTCCAAAATTCAAAAGAGACGGGAACCCCAAATACCTACATCAAACCTGCCCAGCAGCTCTGGCCGGAAGGGCTCTGTCATCACCTCGCCAGCGGATTCGGGTTGGGGCTCAGAGCTTCAGGGCCTTTGCGGTTTATGGCGGGGGCAAAGCGTACTTCTGATTTGGGCTTGGTGATTGGGGCTGGGGTAAGTTGATACCGCGGGGTGCATGGGTCAAAAGCTTCGGGTGCGAAACGACGATAACGCATCAGGGCACTGGCTTCTTGCGTTTTGACTGCTCTAGGCAGACGAGGGCGGCTCCGCTCTTTGGTGTTCCGGGCCTCTGGGTTGGCATCATCATTGCAATCTGCAGTCCGACACTGCCTGAGATCACCCGACCAGGAGAAGTCACTTGCGGGACTTCTTTTTCTCCCTTGTCTCTGTCTTCATCTGTACGTTGTCGCTACGAGCCTCAATCTGCTCCTTGAGAGTCTTCTCCAAGGACACGATTCTTGTGGGCGGTTTTCCTGAAGTGTAAGACGATGCCGACACACTCTGCGACTGCTTCCGGAGATCGCTCGACGTCGGGATGGTCCTTCGGAATATCCAGCTACATGCTGCTTTACTTCTAGCTGGATCCGAGGCACAACTCAAGCAGGGATGTTTCAGCGGGTCCTGCACGTCCAACATCTTGTTGGTTTACGCGATGTCGTGCTCTGTGCAGAGCGTGGTAAACTCTTTGGCAAACGTCGCATTGAAGGTCCCCGCCGCGGCGGCTTCTTCAACATTGATCATGGTCGCATGCAGCGACCCCACAAGCATCGAGAGTCCGATCACAGGGCGATTGAACAGCTCGTGGCGATCGCTCTGCACCGTCTCTTTCGGGAATACTTTCGCAACGAATGTCTGCTCCGGTTTCATCAAGCCCAAAATGCCAGCATTGGACGCAACTTCGTCGTTCCACACTACTGCCCCCAAGTTTGGCGGCTGGAGATGCATATCCCATAGACGGTCGCCGGCCAGGAGCTCAGAAAGGCGGTGAAGCGACACGGAGTTTGCAGCAGAAGCTTTTACCCAGGCTGTCGCGATGCTGTGCTTCTCGTGCGCGCGTTTCTGGTTTAGGGTTTCCGACTTGGATTTGGGGATTTGGGGTCAACGGCTTGCAAGGCACCCTCGCAGAACCCGAAGGAGCACAGAAACCCCAAACCCTGCACACCACCCGACTTACCCGACTTCCCTTGTCCCGCCTGGATGCCCCCGGCACTCGCCACGTCCAGCTTCAAGTATGGTCCAGCCACCCCCTGAAAGCAAAAGCCACTGTTCTTGGCTCCAGGGTGCGGATCTCAAGGTCAAGTTTGGGGATGCTTCCTCTGCTGTGAAGAGGAGCTTCATCAACCCTCAAGCAGCCCACTCAAACCTCCACCCAAAGGCCCCCCAAAATTTAGCCTATACCCTCTGAGCCTTTCTTCTGGGCCCTCAACCCTAAACCGACGTGGATCTTTGATTTCTCGCTCTACATGGCATGGAGTTCTAGGACTCTACAGCCGGGTTTAGCTTTGTGGCTCCGGGTTTTCCAGCTCCGGTTTACTGTTGAGGCTTTAGGGTTTGCTGCTTTCTGGAAGTCGGGGAATAAAGAGTTTAGGAGGGGCTGGAGGGCTTCCTACATCCTACTGGAACCCTAAATATTGTCCGGCCCTGCACTTCACCATCCCTTGAAGGCCCAAACCGCGGGGCCTAGCCCCAAACCCCCTCACTTGATCTAACAAACATGGGGGTCCGCGCTCAGTTCAGGGCCCCCCCCGAGTCAAGCTCCAAACCCTACACCCCGGCAGTCAAAACCCTCAACCACCGGGGTGGGAGTAATTGAAAACCAGTGTCTCTAAACCCTAAACCCTAAACCCTATAAACCCTGTAAACCCTAAACCAGACCCTATACCCTAGGCCTTAGAGTCCCTCTTTTAAGAGGCATCTTCCCCCGGCCCCAGGTCTACCGGCCTTCTCATCCAGCTCAGTTTTGGGCCAAGAGGGGATGGCTCCCCAGGACGGGTCCCCACGGGCAGCGAGTCGATTCCAGTACCTCACTGTGCTCCAGGACTTCTTGCAAAGAGGGGTGCGTAGGTTTAGGGTTTAGGGTTCAGGGTTCCGGGTTTAGGGTTCAGGGTTTAGGGTTCAGGGTTTAGGGTTTAGGGCTAAGGGGCCCACCTCACCAGGACCCTCCCAACTAAGGCCCAAATCAGGCACGGCCCTGCGTTTTAGCCCCAGGGAACCGTGTTGCCTGCTATCGAGTCGCCTCTACCGGAACTCAGCTTCCAAAGGACCTACTGGTAACACACGGTAACACATTGAATTACAAAAGGTGTGTGGGGTTTGGGGGTCCAAGAGCAGCGGGGCTTGGGAGTTAGGAGTTCTTGTTTCGGCTGTGAGCCCTGCCGCCCGGTGTATGCAAGGCTGGCACTTTTGTAGTATCGTAACCCTAAACCCTAAACCCTAAACAGTATCGACACAACTGCGTCCTTCTACTAAAACCTCAACACTGAAGGCCGAGCAGCGTCGCGATGTGCATGGAGAGCTCCAACTCCTCCACCGTGGCATTCGCTGGGAGGTCAGTGAAAACATACTTCAACCTGAGCTTCAGGGAACAGAGGCACGGTCGGGGTTTTCAGGCAACATGCTCCCGGACGCCAGGACCTGAAGTCGAGGGTTCAGGACAAGTCGAGTGGCCCGAAGCCGAGTAGCTGTAGCTACTTGCTGTCTATGACGACTCTAAGACATTGCATGTGCGTTTGGTGTACAACTTGTACAACCTGATCCGCACAATGTCTGTACGGACAATCCGGACGGACCAAAGTGCCACACAAAGGACTAACTCAGTGGCTGCAAGTGTTCGAGCGGACCCTGTGGAAGAACACCAGGACTAATACAGGGGGCCTAATAATTCGTACTAGCTTCCCTCATAAATCAATACATATATATATATATATATGTTTATTACTTATATGCTTATTCATTTATTTGCTTATTAATGTATTTATTTGGTTAGTTAGTTACCTATTTATTTATTCATGTAGTATTTATTGTTTATATTTGCGATCATATGTATCCAATAAACTTCATTAGTATTCAACAGCAAAAACCTAGGCTGAGTTATGGACTGATCTGCGAGACTGAACGTCTTGCTTGAGTGGCCCACATCGTCGCTCATCCTCGGAACCTTTAGCAGCCCTCACGTTTAGGGTTTAGGGTTTAGGGTTTCGGGGCCCAAAACCAGACGATTGAGATTCCCAACATGAACCAACCCTAAACTCCTAAACCCGTAACCCTAGGTCGTAACGACATTCCGTTTGCCCTAAGTAAACACCATCCACCGCGCAGCTCGTCGGAATGGAAGGTTATGGAATCCTCTTTGGCCGGATGGGAGAACCTGCAGATGAGGGCTCATAGTTTCATAATAATGCGGTAGCGACTGCCTCCCAGCCAAAGAGACGCTAACTTTCCATCATTCAGTTTGGGGTGTTTCGAACTGCGGCCACAAGAACTGCGATGGCAAGTAGAGACTGTTTTCTGTGCACGCGCATGTTTCTGTGTGTGTGTGTGTATGTATGTATGTATGTATGTACGTACGTACGTACGTACGTACGTACATAGGGTAGGGTAGGGTAGGGTAGGGTAGGGAGGTAGGGAGGTAGGGAGGCAAGTAGGTAGGTAGGTAGGTAGGTAGGTACGCACGTAGGTAGGTAGGTAGGTAGGTAGGTAGGTAGGTGGGTAGGTAGGGTAGGTAGGGTAGGTAGGGTAGCTAGGGTAGGTAGGGTAGGTAGGGTAGGTAGGGTAGGTAGATTGGTAGGTAGGTAGGGTAGGGTAGGGAGGTAGGTAGGTAGGTAGGTAGGTCGGTCGGTCGGTCGGTCGGTCGGTAGGTAGGTAGGTAGGTCGGTCGGTCGGTCGGTCGGTCGGTCGGTCGGTGGGTGGGTCGGTCGGTGGGTGGGTGGGTAGGTAGGTAGGTAGGTAGGTAGGTATGTATGTAAACGTGTATGTACATATGTATATATATATATACATACATGTCGCAAGGAACATCTTAGCGAGCACATACCAACATCGCGACCCTGAACCCGAAACACCCTGAACCCCAAACATCCCTAAACCCCCTAGTCTCAAACTAAAGATCCCTTAAACTACGCGAATCCCGGGCCCGACACAAGGAATCCTCAGCCGCTACGAAGCCCCCGGCCGAGTCGCTGATATTGGAAAACGTGGAAGCCTGCAGTTGCCGAGGCTGTCGAGCCATGGGTATAAGGATTTGGGCTTAGGGTTGAGGTGATAAGGCAGAAGGATGCGGGTTTCGTTTGAGCATTTAAGGTACGACTCTGATTAGAAGGGTTCAGAGTTAGGGTATAAGGCCTTGGATTTAGGCTCAGGCAATCCTAGGCTGGGAATCCTAAACCCTGAAATCGTGAAGACCCCTTTACCCAACAAACCTAAACTCAAGGAACGAGGGGAAGGAAGAAACCCTGCCCTAGACCCTAAACTCTAAACCTTAAACCCTAAACCCTAAAGCCCTAAAGCCTAAACCTTAATCCGAAACCCTAATCCGAAACCCTAATCCGAAACCGCAAACCCTAAACCCTAAACCCTAAACCCAAAGAGGGGAAGGAGGAGGAGAGAGGCCTCGCTTGGCCAGATGAGCGGCGGCCCAGTGCGTGGGGCAGCCGAAGTCCTGATCTGTAACCTGCTCTAGGGTTTAGGTGTCATGGGTTTAGGGTTTAGGGAAGTTTAGGGTTTAGGGTTTAAGGGTTTAGGGTTTAGGTGTCAAGGGTTCAGGTCCCTAAACCCTAAATCCTAAACTGGCAATGATTCAGGCCCCAAAACTACTGGATGTCAGAAGAGGGTTCCATGATGTTTGAGCTTGAAGATATGTGGTTTATAGCATTGTATAGGGTTTTGTATGGTACTTGAGGTTCAGGGTCTAGGATCTACGGTGCTTTACATGGCATGATACGGTATCTGGCGTTTTCGGTCAAGGCTTAAGGTTTGAAGCTTCGGCTTCGGAGTTTCTGGTTGAGGTGTTGGCGTTTGGGCTTCAACGTTGAGGGCTCAAGGTTTCGAGTTTGCTTTGGGGGTTTAGGGTTGAGGGTTTAGGGCTTGAGGGTCAAGGCGGTAAAGGCTTACGTCGCCCAAGGTGGTCTGAACATTGGGAAATGGGAGCACGTGGAGCTACGTGAAGGCCCAATCAAAAGACACGAGTCCAGATACAGGCGTAAAGTCGTCGCCCGCGGTTGATGCAGCAAAAACCGATGCGAAAAAAAAAAACATGAGGCTATGACACTCCTTCATGCAGCAAGGATCCAGATACCACGAAATGTGGCATGGTACCAGGCCAACGGACAGAGAAGGAATTTGGAAAAGCCTGCAAAACCCCAACTTGCCGGAACCCAAACCTTACCCCTGAAATTCTAAGCCCGCTGGGACGCATGGATTCATGTATGGGTCAGGGGACACGCAGATGCATGCATAACTATGTGTATAGGCATGTGACATGTAG